ATCTCTCTGACTTCATATTTTACTTACTCTACCTACCCCTAACTCATTCACTCCACTGCAGCTACTCTGGTGTCCTGTGGTTATTACTTGAACATTCCTGGCATACTCCTATCTTAGAGATTTCACTTTGGCTATTATTCCCTTAGCCTACAGAGATTTATATGTCTAACTCCCTCTCCTCCTTTACTTCTCAGTGAGGCCTTCTTTACTGTGATATTTAAACCTGCTACCCTGTCTTCATATCCTGGTACTCCTATTACCTCAATTTTCTGTTCTCCACAGCACTTACAACCTTCCAGTTATGCCATATAACTTATTACATGTTTGTTTTCTGTCTTCCCTTCCTCCCTTACCAGAAGCAAGCGAAAAGCAAGAACATAAGGTCTATGAAAGAAGGGATTTTACCTATTTTGTTCCCTGCCTGGCCTAAGTGTGCAAAAGAGTGCCTGGCTTGTAACAGGTGTTCAATAAACATTTGTCCAATAAGCACATGTCTGCTTGGTCATTAGCATGCCAAAGCAGTGAAAGTTGATCAGCTGTGAGAAGAATGAAGCAGACTTGTCTGGAAGCAGAGATGAAAGACCATGTGGTTCCAGAAAGAAGGTAACTAACTACCTGTCTGGTTCTGATGGCTTCCCATCCTTTGAACTCATGCCTTCCCAATCTATGTCACCTTATTTTTTTTTTGATGTTATTAATCTATAATTACATGAGGACTCCCCCCTTCAGCAAGTCCCCCTCACCATACCCCATTAGTCACAGTCCATCAGAATAGTGAGATGCTGTAAAATCACTACTTGTCTTCTCTGTGTTGTACAGTCCTCCCCGTGCCCCCACACACATTATACATGCTAATCGTAAGGCCCCCTTTCTTCTTCCCCGGCTTCTCTCTCCCTTCCCACCCATCCTCCCAGTCCCTTTTCCTTTGGTTAACTGTTACTCCTTTCTTGGGTTCTGTGAGTCTGCTGCTGTTTTGTTCCTTCAGTTTTTCCTTTGTTCTTATACTCCACAGATGAGTGAAATCATTTGATATTTGTCTTTCTCCACCTGGCTTATTTCACTGAGCATAATACCCTCTAGCTCCATCCATGTTGTTGCAAATATTAGGATGTTCTCTTCATATGGCTGAATAATATTCCATTGTGTATATGTACCACATCTTCTTTATCCATTCATCTACTGATGGACACTTAGGTTGCTTCCATTTCTTGGCTATTGTAAATAGTGCTGCCATAAACATACGGGTGCATCTGTCCTTTTCAAACTGGGCTGCTGCCATTCTTAGGGTAAATTCCTAGAAGTGGGATTCCTGGGTCAAATGGTATTTCTATTTTGAGCTTTTTGAGGAACCTCCATACTGCTTTCCACAATGGTTGAACTAATTTACATTCCCACCAACAGTGTAAGAGGGTTCCCCTTTCTCCACATTCTCGCCAACATTTGTTGTTGTTTGTCTTTTGGATGGTGGTGATCCTTACTGGTGTGAGGTGGTATCTCATTGTGGTTTTAATTTGCATTTCTCTGATGACTAGCGATGTGGAGCATCTTTTCATGTGGCTGTTGGCCATCTGAATTTCTTCTTTGGAGAACTGTCTGTTCAGCTCCTCTGCCCATTTTTTAATTGGATTGTTTGCTTTTTGTTCAGGTATGTCACCTCATTTTTGCCACAGTAAATATAGAACATGGTCAACTGCAATACACTTCAGCATCATACCTTTCCAATGAACGTTTCATAAAGGATAAAGAACAACTGCTTTGGCATTCCATAAAAAAAGTTGCTGGTAAGATTTTGTATTATGTTCAGCCAGTGAAAGGAGTAATTTGGCAAAATGAAAAAAAAATCAGCTCTGTATGTCACTGGACTGAAATGAGCACTCTACTATAGCAAAATGTTTAATATCTTCATGAGAGTTTCATACATCAATACTTGCTTGAACATTTATTCCAATGGTGCAATGCTTTTTTTTGAAAAATGTATATCCTTGAACAAAGGGCAGCTTTTCTCCTCTGAAACTGCTAAGTCTTGATGCACTGCAGAATCAGACTCCTAATCCACAAAATGTAAAGGTTGCATATCTAAGGTCTCCTCCAGCTCCGAAGTTTAAAGATTTGATGATGGCCAGCAATTTACATAATACATCTGCACTCACACAAATGCTTAAGAATGATTCATCCATCCTCTGTGTTATGAAAGTGGATTACAAACCCATTAATTTTACAAAAATAAAATTTAATACACTAAGAACTTTAGAGATCTTTAAAAGTCTAGCAAACAATATGAAGGGTCAAAATTCATCTGGCAAATAACCAATTTTCTAACAGAATTCAGTATTTTTTACTACGAACACAAAACACTCTGAGCATTTATAACATCCTATATGGTACCACTAGAGGAAAGCAAAGTGCTATTTTTAAAATAGAAGGAAGAATTACACTATTTGCATGGTTGGTACTTTAGTAACATTCCTAGTCTGTTTGCTCAAACATATTTTTAAAAAATAGAAAAGTGAATACCAGTAACACTATGGTTAACAATGGGTAATAGGATTAAAAGATTCTTTAAAACTTAATTTTCTTTATGTTTAGTCATATTTGTTTAGTCTCCTACAAAAAGAAACCACCTTATTTTTGTAATATAAAAACCACTTGCATTTTTTAAATTTAAGAAGTGATCTGTAATAACTAATCTAGCAAAAAGAACAGCTGTTTCCAAGCTTTTGGGCATCTTATCATTTTTATCATGAAATCCTCTGTAATCTCCCTTTTCTCTCCGTTTTTTTTTTTCAAGAGAAATTTAAATTAATTTACAAATTAATTTGAAATTTGAAATTTTCAAAAGACTTCCAATTTGGAATTTTGCAAAAGTTGGCATAAAAGGTATTAAAATTCACTTTCATTTCACGACTGATAGTTTCATAAAACAAATGCAAAATAAAACAAGGCTGTCAAATTATGTAAATGATTCATCCTATAAAAGGAGTGACAAAAATAAGTTACTTCAACATTGGACACTAGTAGTAACATTTATAAATATCTACTTTAACTACTGAGCCTGACAGAACTGAGCTTGAATCTTGCCTCTGACATTTTCTACCTGTGTAACTTTGAGTACCATACTAACCCCCAGTTGCTTCCATCAGTTAAAAAAAAAAGATAGAGCCTACCTAAAAACGTTGACAGAATTAAATGAGGCATGTATAAAATGTTAGTGTATATGCCATACATCAAGTCCTCAGTAAATGTTAGTTATTTCAATAGGGAACAGTGTTCGAGGCAGCAAATATCTTACCCTGATTATAATTTTACCAAGAAAACAGTATGTTTAAGCACCAGAAATACATTGGAAATACTTCTTTCATGATTACAGATAAACGTCAAGATTCTGCAATTCCTGAATTACAACTATCTCATCAGAAATTCGCGCAAGTACTAAGTGCCCAGGCTCAAAGAATGTAATATGCAGTACGTATCCAGGGTTAAATAAATACATGCCGTACTACATTGAGTCATTAAAATTTAAATCCAAAAGGATGTGAAATATATGCAGATGACAATTTACACACAAGGACCTACGGTCAAAAAGAAAGTAATGCCTAACCTCTTAGCAGTTTTTTACTATTTTTCCAAGGGAGTCTCCTGAGGTGATCACAGTGTATATGACAAACACAACTGAGGCATCACGAAAACTCTATTGTGATCAGAATATCTAGGTTCAAATCTCTTACGAGTGTGTAACTTGAACAAGCTATTAAAATAACAAAGCTTGAATTTTCACATCTATAAAAAATAGTAATACCTACCTACTCCACAGGGTTGTTATGAAGATCAAACGTGAACTCAGGTGTGTATGCTTTGTGAACTGTCAAAGTGTTACAACATGGAAATGCCATTACAGTTGAAGTTCCTAAGGAAGACTTACTTAAAAAATGATAAATCGAGTTCTATCAACTCATTACGCATAGACAGTATCAAACTTTTATCACTCGTTGTTGCACGCCATGACGGTGCTCAACAATTTTCACCTAAAACCACCAAAATCGCAATCCATAGTTGAAAGATGCTTATCAATATAACCGCATAAGTATACTCAGGGCATAAATATACCTTCACTGATCACCAAAACAAGAAACAAAATTTACTAATATCCTCTACAGACTCACTAAATTATTTGATAGACTCTAAAAAAATAAAACTAAAAATAACTTATTTTCAGCGTTGCGGCAAGCAAATGCACTTCAGTACTCATATCTTTATGCTTTACATATTCAGTTTACAAGGGTCAGGTTGGTTTTAAAACAACCATATCCTCCAAAACGCACGCACGCACACACAAAACCAACACGAAAAACCCTGCTTTATTGGTATCAGGGATTAAACACAAAATAAACTACACCAAACAAAAGAATTCGAAGGAGCCTCCCTCCTTCGAATAACCTCGTTGGACCGTCCTCTTCCTCGTTTAGTAAACAGATTCTTTTTGCGCACGCAAGCAGAGGCCAAGGTTTTTAAATGGGGTCAGCTCGCTCCACTCGACCGTCACCTGGCGGGTATTTTTCGCCAAGTTTCAGAGTCAACAAAGAAGTTTTGTTGTGAGGCACTAGGGCCTGGCGAGCAGTAGGCAAAACCACAAAAAGACAGACAAAACCGAGTGGGGGAAGGGTGTGGACAACACCCCCGTACTAGGAGCAGCGACCACGGCGCCGTCCCCCGGGGCTGGCGGGATGCAGGGCGCGGGGAGGCCCTGGCCGGCAGCGACCCACCCAGCGCGCGCGCGTGGGCGCGGGGGGCGCCACGGGGTCACCTTCCGCTCGCCGCGCCGCCCGCCGCCCCTCGCACCGGCAGCTCGGCAGTAAATGGCCCGGGCGCCAGCCCCGCCGCTGTCACCGCGCGCCCCGGACCGAGGGGAGGCGCCCCCGCCGCGCCGCCCGGGCCCCGCCGCACGTCCGGCGCTCCGTCGACATGGAGCGGACGCGGGGCCACTCCGAGCGCCGCCGACTTACCTTCCTCGGCGGTGTCCATCTTGTCTGGGGGGGGCGGTGGTGACGCAGCCGCGAGGCTCCCGCGGCCGAGATCAGAGCCTTCCGGCCGGGGCGGAGAGGGAGGGGCAAGAAGGAGGCGGGAGCGGAGCCGGGCCGGGCAGGTGCGCGAGCTCAGGTGCGAGAGAGGAAGGAGAGAGGGGAGAGGGAGAGGCTGACGGAGCGCGCGCGGGGGAGGGGCGGCGGCGCGGAGCGGGAGCCTGGGCGGGCGTAGGGGCGGAAGGGGCGGGAGCGCCCGGCGCCGTCACTTCCGCCGGCGGCTGCCGGGTCCCGGGCCCTGCGTGCGGTGTCTCCGGCCGCCTGAGCAGGTGCCGTCCGTGGTGCAGCTCGGAGCTGGGTGAGCAGCGTGAGCGAGCGCCTGCCCCAGGCGGCGAGCGCAGGCCGGCCCGGCTCCGGGGGCCCAAGAATCCCTGAGCGCTGGGAAAATACAAGTTCTGCGCCGATGCTGGCGCCCAAGAATGTGCCTTTTTGTTCGTCCCCTGGGTAGTTCTGGGTAGTTTGAAGAAGTACCGAAACATCACTGAAATGTAGGAAGACAAACACTAACTTCACCAAAATCCCTCCAGTTGGACGCAGTTGGAAGCCCTGCGTCAATAGGGGAAACCCGTTCAGTTGCGGACAGGGCTTGATAACTCTTGAGTTAAGGACGCCTACCTGCCTGGAGAACTGTCTCCGCCCACGAAAGGCCGAGCTCCGCCTCCATCAGTACTCCACCTTTCCTCTCCAGAGCCTTGACATAACACTTCTCTAAATGGAGAACTATTTAGAAACGTGAGATGAGAAAAGACCTCACCTTGGAATTGCCTGAGTAGAAGCCAAGATGTCTCTAATTCCAATAAAGAATATTTTAAACAAATCGCAGACGGCTTACAGAAATAGATTCAAGAATTCTAGCAATCCCTTTCAATCTGTGTGAATGAAGGAATTGGGAAGACCCTCCCTCAAGCCTCATCAATCAAAGTGGGGCTTATAAAAATAATGAAATGGAGTCCTCCAGAAAGAGCAGCCCTTGAAGAGTAATGTCACTGATTGAACTGTCACTTAGGTTGCCCAGGGCAGGAAAGCAAATTTTTGACACAGTCCTGGAGACCCACTGATTTCAAGGACTGACCTTAAGAACTGAGCATATTAAAACTTAACTTAAAAATGTTTATACTGTCTCCTAAGAAGCTGAATTTGAAGGAGGGTCATTCCCAACCCACAACCCAGACATGAGCTCACCCCTCTCCCCCATGAGCTTATACCTGTTGTAAGGCCTGTGTTGAGCACCTGTCACCCAGCTTAGACTAGAGCACAGTTCAGGACCATCAGACCCTGTCTAAAATGTTGTATAGCATAAGGGGGAAGGCTACTGAGAGACAGATTGAGATATGCCAAATGAAGTACTAGTAGGGTTTCAGGGCAGGTATGTGAAACTCAGCACAGCAGAGCCGGGTTAGGAGTAGAGGGTGTGTGTGTGTGTGTGTCTGTCTGTCTGTCTGTGTGTGTGTGTGTGTGTGTGTGTCTGTGTGTAGACCTCCAGCCTCCTGTCTTTAGTTGTCTTCCTGAAGGAAAGCTACTTCTAGAATTGAGATTGCCCCATGTTAAATATAAGAATAATAAGTCAACATTTGTTGAGTCACTACTATGTACACTGATCATTGTAACAGCTCTTTGAGTTACGTAAAGCAGTCACACTTCACTAGGTTGCCATTGACCAGAAGTCAACTAAGCTGGTATGCAAGAAGGAGGACATACTGGTGATAGGAACAAAGTATGGCCAGGGTAGTGGTCTGCCAGGCCTCAGGGACTACTAGAAACAGAGGCCCTCTCTCTGTCTCCAACCCTAAACTCCGCTGCTCCCAGCACATTAGCTTCAAGCTGTCAGGCCAGCTTCCTCCACATGGCTGGAGAGAAGGCCGAAGATACCTCTCAAGGTCACATCTTCAGCCTCACTATCAGACTGAGGGTGATGATCTCTGGGCCCAAATTAAAACTTCTTAGGGAAGGACAGCTAATTGGTCTAGCTGGATTCCCATGCCTGAACCAAATATTTGTGCCAAGGAGTCAGGTTCTGTAAGAACATGGACACTGCTTTTGAAACACATTATTCAACTGGAGAGAGAACATTTCCCATAAGAACAGACAGGACAGAAGAGCAGTGGCTTTTTATATTAGAATTCTCATTGTTTTCAAATGAGAACACCAATATTATCCAGAGATATTTTCATTTGCCACACTTTTATCCAAGGAAACCAATGTTTAAGTTGGCACAGAATTTCAATCTGGACAAATGTTATTTTGATTAAAAGAGACGCTAAAAGTATAGCAACAACATGGTTGCAGCCTCATTTATGTGTGTGTATGTGTGTGTGTGTGTGTGTGTGTGTGTGTGTGTCTCTACTCTGCCATGAGGATACTACAGTCTAGTAATGTTAGGTTTCCATATAACAATGAAATGAGCAAGAGAGGATGAATAGGAAGACAGGATGATATTTTGAACACTAACCATAACAATAACAAATTAACAACAACAATAATTAACCAAACTATTATATCCTGTAAACATCAATAGCAATCCTATGAAATAAATAGTATACCCATTTTACAGGTGAGTAATATGATACCCACAGCTGATGAGTAACTAGCTCTTGGCCATACACATAGAAGAAGAACCGGAATTAAAGCACAGGTCTGTCTGATTCCAGGCCTCCAAGTTTTAAACTTCATCAGTGTGCCATTGGCAGTCACCTTCTTAACACTGTCATTAAACTCTTAACTGCTTACCATATAAATAAGCCCATTTATATAGAAACCCATGACTTTGCCACAGTTGCACAAAACTGCTGCTGAATAAGGATAAATTATGAAAATTATTAACATTAAGTTATTGAAGGCAATTGATGGCATTATCTTAATATTACTCTTCCCCTCCTTTCCTATTTTCTTGTCCCTTTTCATCTTCCCTACTCATCCCATCTTCCTTTTCCTCCTATCTTTCTTTTTTGTTTCTCTTACCTTCCTGAGTGAGACATAATGGCAAATGGACAAGAACACGGGGGCTGAAAGGAAAGGCATGCAGGTGGCAGACTGAGAAGACTGATGTTGTTGGACAGTTGATTATGTTGACCAAGTAAGTAAAAATATTGAGAATGATGATGTCCAGATTTCCCACTGTTGGAGAAAATACAAGCATGGAAAAGGGTAAGGCTAGAAAGAACACTGAGATGTTGGATTAGAATAGCAGGTATCATTATATGCTTACTTTAAAAAATATAAACAGATACAGAAATATATATGCATGTGGGTCTATTAAATATATATATTAAATAATAAATATATATATACTGGGAAATATATGTAGATCACATATATATTTCCTAGTTCCTCTGAGAGGGTCTAGAAGCAGTGATGGTACAGCAGCTTTGAGCACAATGACTATCAGATTTTAGTTTCTAATACCATGCTTGACTGAAAGGAACCAAGGAAGTCTGATAACAAAATGATGGATACATGTTATTATGCATTTATGCAAACCCACAGAATGTGCCACACCACGAATGAATGGCAGTGTAGTCTATGGACTTTGGACGATTATGATGCATCATCGTAATTCACCAGTTGTAACAATGTCCCCCTCTGGTGGGGGATGTTGATGGGGGAAGCTGTACATGTGTCAGAGCCGGGGATATATGGGAACTCTGTGAACCTATTGCTATGAACCTTAAACTGGTCTAAAAAAATTAAAATATGATTTTTTTAAGTACTCACTCATATGGGGGGAAGAAAATGAACCAAGACTCTTTGAATAAATACCAGATTTTAGGGTTGGAGCAGGAAAACTACAAAATGAGCCAAAATCTAACTTCCAGAAATTAAGGAATTGCTCAAAGACTATTTAAAGAACACAGAAACCAGCATAAAGGAGCTCCCACTGGACAAATTAGGGACATGAAGATAAATATTTACAGTAACAGATTATAACCTATTGAATAAAATAGGACTCCATGAGCTAATAGTGATATAAATAAATAAGGAGGGAGAAAGAAAAGCTCTTCCTTTGCAGGATAATGTCAGCCAATAAATGTAAAAGCAACAGTATAAACAGAAAATCTTTTGCCAGCCATCATAGTGGTTCAGCCCGGAGTTGAGGCTGAGACTGGGTGAAGTTTCTGTGCGGAACAGGAATTTGGCATATTGATGAAACATTTTCCAACAGTTACAGAAGAAAAATAGTAACTCTATAGTGAAGACATCAACATGACTAGATGATGAAGGGTTAACATCAACAGTGATGGGTGAGTTTCCTAATGACCTCCTTCCTAGACCAATTCCAATGCTTATGTGTGGCAGGAGATCTTCCCACACATGACACCAAGCAATTCTTGAACACCAGCAGGGTGTCAGAGAATTCCACTCAATTCTGACTCTACTTGCCCAAAGACAGCACCAGATTTCCTAGGTTAAGAGCTTCATCCTACAAGACTGCCCTCCACCCCATCAACTCCAGACACCAGTCACAAACCCTGTTACCTTGTGCCTCTGACCAACTAGCTACAGAGAAGAGGTTCCAATGACCCCCACCTTAGGTTTGACTAATTTGCTAGAGCAGTGCACAGAACTCAAGAGATCACTTAAGTTTACCAGTTTAATAAGGGATACTGTAAAGAATATGTTTAACAGCCAGACAAAGAGGTAAATAGGGCAAGGTTCCAAATCAAGGAGCTTCTCTCCTCATTGAGCTTGGGGCCTGGCTCGGTGGCACATGGAAGCATTCTGGTTTCCCAAGCATGGAAGCCTCTCCAACAGTGAAGCAGGATGCTCTTCTCAGGGGGTTTTGTGAGGACTTCATTGCATATACATGATTGACTAAATCACTGGCCATTGGCTGACTCAATCAGGCCCTTGGGTGTGGTCCCTAAGTCTCTCATTAACAGGATAAGACACCTATTCACCTTTGATTCTCTGAAGTGTTTTCAGAAACTGTGGATGAAGACCAAACATATCTGGGAAATATATATTGGGTCATCTGAATGAATGATCATGGATGTGGGTGCCTTTGAGTCCATGTGTAAACCCCAGGTTAAAAGAACCTCTCAGTTAAAGTATTGAGAAAAATAAGGATGTTCACATCCCTTTCCAAGAATACAGCAGGCTAGGTTATTCAGACCAACCGTTGAAAATGCTAGATAAAACATAAAAAGCATATTCTTACATGTTGAGAAAAATAG